ACTCACTCACTCGCTCACTCGCTCGCTCACTCACTCTCACTGGTGTAAAACGAACGAATCCACGGCACGATCTCGTATGCGCGCCTACAACAACGCGGCGTACGCTCTTACTGCTCTTTGCAGTTCTCTCTTTTACTCTATTAACTGCCACTCTTGTTACTTCTGGCACTGCCGCTACCGCCGTTGCTGTCGCTACTGCCACCGCCACCACCGCCGCCGCCGCCGCCACCGCCACCACCGCCGACACCGCCGTCGTTGTCGTTGTCGTCGTTGTCGTCGTCGTCGTCGTCGTCGTTGTTGCTGATACTGCTTCCTACGACGACCGCGATGCGTTTACGGTATACTACAGTCCCAAAACTCACAAACTAATGAGGACGATCGTCTCTCGCGCCAATATATTAATAGGTCGTGTAGAGCTTCGTCGACATTTTCCTAAATACTCGCACCGCCGGAAGCCTTTCCGTGCCCATTACGATCTCGGATCTAGAAACTTAACGATCGCAGCACCAACAATGGCTACGCATTCTTACGCGACGTACCGAATGGTCCTGTTCCGTAGTTCCTTCCGTGATACCTGACCCCCCTCCCTCATTTCCCTCTCCATGAACACTACACGAACGCTCACGAACTAACGCGAAGTTAAACGCGCCAATTCTGACTTGTCACAAACACGTTATACGACAAACGATAATATTTTTTTTAATATGAAAAAATATGATATCTACAAATTTTTACTAAGAAGAAATAAGAAGGAAAGTAAAGAAAAAGGTTTATGGGAAGTTTTTCATTGAACGTTCGTCAAAGATCACATCTCTTTACAGATCCACGTGGTGAAAAAATAATATCCCTTCCGTTTTATTTCATCAAAACAAATTATAACTAAAACAATGTGTCAGCTTGTTATTGAAAAATAATGCGTCAATTTGTTATTGAAACATGAACAATAAGGCTTAGAAATTGAGAGGCGGAAGGAGACTCAGGTAGAATGAGTAAGAGAGAAAGTGAGAGAAAGAGAGAGAAAGAAAGAGAGAGAGAGAGAGAGAAAGAGAGAGAGAAAGTGTGAGAGAGAGATAGAGAGAGAGAAAGAGAGAGTTCGGGAAGAAACCAGCACAAGTTTTCTTTGGTACCTATTTATAATATTAAAATATGACGGGCGGTGGTGTACGACATATAACACGCATATAATAATCATACACATTCGCTCTATAGAATAAAAAGGCGCTTTATTAACCAATCCAAAAATCAACGGTCAATTTCCGTCGTTCCATGTTCACCCATAATGCCTTTTCGTACGTTCCAAAGAGAAAGGAATTCGCGTTTCGATCATTAGAAGAAAATCTTATCTCATTTAAAGAAATATTTAATTAAATCAAACGTTTCTATTAATTTGTTCTTTCATTCGAATAATATTACCGCGCCTTATTAATCGGCGCGCGCGAACGTCGGTCCGTTTCCACGATTCTCCGATTAAACGCAATGCATTTTGGTAGTCGAGCACAAAATCTATAACGGCTTTGGCAAAAGCATGAAAGACGAACGGTATCAATGAACCCGTTACAGCGTGACAGCGTGAACGGCACTAAGATTTAATGTATGGATAGCATAGGATGCACGTGGTAAACTTTACGCGCGTTCTCTCGAAGTAGTATTCCATTATGACGTGCTGCGTCGTATCGTCATTCCGATAGTTCCGTTACCTATATATCAAGATGGCGGCTGTACTAATTAACGATGGATCGACCTTTGCTTCCTCGATCACCCTGTCACACGAAACGCAAAACTGTTTATCGATGTTATCGTTTTCAGAAAAATTCGTACTCGAAAACGATATTAACATCACCAGCGTGACGACACGCACCGAAATCTACTACGTATTCGCTACACGTCGATCAGATATCGTAGACGCATGACACGGTACTACGGAAGTCAACTGCACGATCCGATCGTTTCTTTTCTTATTTCTATTAAATACATTTTTCGACAAAATAATCACGATTTAAAATGATAAATAATCTTTTCTTCAATCAATTTACATTGGTAATAATTAATACAGCCATCCAGCTTTTACACGAATGACTTATAACACTAATGCTAAAGATGGCGTCTCCATGAAGGACAGAAAATCACTTTTCAACTAGACACATTCATGTCTTACACCAATAAGATTATCATAAGAATCGCGGATATGTTAAACTATAATCTTGGAAATAATCGTATATCCCGAAAATCATTTACCAAACCGTTCCGTTATAAATGTGTCATTCGCATACTTTACGACGACAACCATTTTCCGTTTGGATGACGTCAGAAGTAATACGAGAGTCAAAGTATCTTTATCGTTAACGTAGTATTATCGACGCATTGCCTCCTTGTCTTTCCGGTCCGCCATTGCATTTTCATGTTCCGACGAGTGATTGGTTTTCGTCAGAAGCTTCCTCTTTTTCGGACCAATCAAACGAATAGTAAAATATTGATGAGTCATCGTCACTACGATTCCCTCCACAGCTCTTTTCAATCGTATCAAAACTATTATTGTATTATTTTCTAATTCATTGAATATTTTAACAAAAATCATTTTATAAGCAATTAAGTTCTTCAAAATTTCTTCGAAATGATTAAAACGTTTTTTTGTTCGACAGAAGTATATAAAATATTCTTAAATCAGAATAATGTACACATATTTACTAAAATTATATGGGTAATTCTATTATATATCATATATTTAGATTATATATACAAATTTATTTCTTAAATTATACCCCAAACTTCTTCAAAAGCAGTACACAATTTACTGCAAGTTACAGCACCTGAAAGAGGGTAGTTACTGATAGATATAGTATCTTCCGTATAATCTGTTTTTACCTAATAAATGAATAAAGAAATTTTTCATTATAATAATAAGTAAATAATACAATTAAAAAAAGGATGTCTTTAAGAATAATATAATATTTACTTGTCCATGTGCCATTGCTCCAACCACTATAACGATTGGTTCTTCGGTTGGTACTAATTCTCTTGGATTTTTTATTGTATTTGAACTGAAAGACATTAACAGTTTTTTACAGCCAACTGGAAGATGATCCGTGCATGGATTCTTAATGACTTTTAATAACTTCATCGGCCCGTCTGATGCTCTTACATTGAATTTATGTAACAATTGTACTGTAACAAAAACGATATATATATATACATATATTTTTTACAATACATATTCCTTTATAAACACAGGAATTTTTTAAGAAAGATAGATTTATTTTATACCCATAAGACCAGCAAATCGTTTGAATGTCCTTGGTATCCTTGTTTGTGGATTGACTTCGATTAATACATTTTTTTCCGTATGTATATAAACTTGTAAAAGGCCAGCTCTATTTAAAGGACTATCCATTAGCATTAACAAGCATTGATGCGTTATGTCTGGTCTGCATGAACCAGGTTCTCGATTATTTTTTCTTAATATATTTGAATGATCATCACAATTCAATAATTCAAAACTGTTACCAATCTGTATACAAAAAGAAAAACAACATTTTGATAGAAACATCACAAAATATGTATATACTTATTACTCTTCTATCTTATTAAATTAAAAATTAAAAATGATCAAATATTTCACAAATATGTTGTAATTATAATTTATAATATTAATGAAAAATATTAAAATATAAATAAGATATATATTGAAATGATCTCACTTTTACTGATTCTAATTGTGCATTTTCTAAAATAATGATAAGACGCTTTTCTTGATTTTTAATGTGTGCAACTTGAAGATGTTTAGGAGCGGGATCATATTCAAAATCATCCTTTTCGTTGCGATTTTTTCTTTTCTGGCCCATTATGAAATTAATACACACTACGAAATATAAATACTTGTGTTGTCTATAACCTTAGCATAATTCTAATAAAGTGAGGTTAAGTAACAATAAACCTTATTTCCTAATATCGACTTTGTCTACTATCGAATGTATATCGTTGTTTCAATTCGATATTATTCGATAAAATCGTCTTATCGATCATAGTGCATATATAAAATTTTATTGTAATAAGAAAACAAATATATAATCCGTATTAATTGTATTTAATTAATATGAGAAGCACATAAGTATCATGAAAAATATTTTTTATTTTTCAAATGACAATTAAAATACAATTTTTCAAAATATAACAGAATTATAGCATATTTTCTGTTCAATGACATTATTTTCCTTTAATTTGTCTACCAATCGTATCAGAGAAAAGATATCACGTGGTATTAGAGAATTTTTTTCAAGATTTTATTTTTAACAAATTTTTACAGAAGTAAATAAATTCATCAAATAATCGAGTTCTTTCGTATTACGTACAAGTATCTACTTCATTAACATAACTCCATTAATAGAAATCTTTTTATCGTTCTATTAATAACAAATATTAATATTGATTTAGTCTAGGAATTATCATCTCGTGGTAGATTTAAAAGTACTATCCATAGTTCTTAATTTATTGTTTAGAATTTTTTAGATACGCATTCCACGTCAATTGTAGGATACATATGTTACATTAGTGAAATTATATTCTTAATTTTCCCGCCAGAATTATAATACGACTGGTGTCGTATATAGAATTATGTAAGTTTTATCAAACTTTTCATCTTTTCAATTATCGTTTTAAAAGTTATGTTAATGTATTTTATTCATACATTCGTTTATTAGTTGTCAGATAATTGAATTATTCAAATTTAAATGTAGTTTTGATATCTCAGTAAATTATATATATATATATGTGTGTGTGTATATGTATTCTTTGTAAATAATTATATATTAGTTATAAATAATATTATTTACGTTTAATTATATATTGAATTTTAACGTTACAATGGTAATATTAATATAAAAACTAGGAAATGGAGATAAGATATGTTTTATTTCTAAATATATTTATATATTTATATATATATATATATTTTTTTTTCTTTTTTATGCCATAGTACTTTATTCGAAATATAAAAATTTTTACAGATGTTAGCTAGAACAAGTGGAATACGTGGAATAATAATTAAAACGTCAATTTATTCTAATACGCTCAAAAATATTCAAAGCTATTCTGCTGTGATGTCTAAATTTGAATTACCAAATCGTTTCAAGGAGAATAATAAATCTGTATGGTAATTAGAAAATATTATATCAGATATTATAATATTTAAAATATTATTATTATAATCTTTTTTTAGGGTAGAATATATTCAACTTGCCCTAAAATATAAACCATTAAACTTAGGTCAAGGTTTTCCAGATTTTCATGCTCCTGAAAGTATTACTAAAGCTTTAGCTGCTACTGCAAATAATGAAAATCCTCTTCTTCAGCAATACACAAGAGGTTTTGTAAGTATTTTATAATTACCAAACAAGTTCTATACTTAAGTACCAATTGAAATTTTAAAGGGACATCCAAGATTAGTGAATGCAATTGCAAAGTTATATTCTAAACTCTTAAATCGTAATTTGGATCCAAATAATGAAGTCATTGTTACTGTTGGAGCTTATGAAGCATTATATGCTACATTACAAGGTCATACAAATCCAGGAGACGAATGGATTATAATTGAACCATTTTATGATTGTTATGTTCCAATTATTCGTGTCATAGGTGGTATTCCTAGATTCATACCATTAAAACCGGTAAGTGAAATCATAGCAAAATAAAAAGTATGATAGAGTTTTAGAATTATATAAAAAAACTGTCATTACTTTTTTGTATTGATTATATTAAGGAATGTTATTTCTTTTTTAATTTGTACTGTATAGAAAAATACTAGTGGGCCACTTACTTCTGCCGATTGGACATTTGATAAGAAAGAATTGGAGAAGCTTTTCAATGAAAAAACAAAAGGAATTGTAATCAATACACCAAACAATCCTATTGGAAAAGTATATACATTGGATGAATTACAATTTATAGCAGATCTTGCCAAAAAGTGGAATTGCCTTGTTGTCTCAGATGAAGTATACGAATGGATTATTTATGAATCAGCTCAACATATTAGAATAGGTGAATAGAATTTGATAAATATAATAAAATTACTATAGCGAATAAATTTTAATAAATTTTTTATTATATTTTTTAGCAACATTACCTGGGATGTTTGAACGCACAATTACTATTGGATCTGCAGGTAAATCATTTAGCGTCACCGGTTGGAAAATAGGTTGGGCATATGGACCAGCGAATTTAATATACAATTTACAAGTTGTACATCAAAATGTTGTTTATACTTGCTCAACACCAATTCAAGTAAAATTACATTAATTAACTATAATTTTTATTTATAAAGATGAACATAATTATTAAATGTATCAAACATTTTTTAACAAATAGGAAGCTGTAGCACTTGGATTTGAAGAAGAGATGGAGAAATTTGATCAACCCGATTGTTATTTCTTTAGTTTACCTAAAGAATTATTACCAAAACGAGACTATATGGCAAAATTTCTTAGCGATGTGGGCATGTCACCTACCATTCCCGAAGGTGGTTATTTTATGATAGCTGACTGGACAGCTTTAGAGAAAAAGACTAAATTAGAAGAAGAAACAGATGCTAATAAAGATTATAGATTTACAAAATGGATGACTAAAAATGTTGGAGTTCAAGGTATTCCTGTATCTGCTTTTTATTCAGAAGAGCACAAACATTTAGCAGAGAATTTTGTACGATACTGTTTCATAAAGGTATCTAATTAATTGCCATTACATAAATAATAATATATTATATGAAAATGTAATGTTTGTGTCAAATTTTTTTACAGAAAGATGAAAACTTGCAAAATGCAGCCAAAATTTTGATGAAATGGAATTCATAACGGCGATAAAGAATGTTTCCTTTTATATCTGATTTTTTATACTACGAAATAAACGATATTTATAAAATATTCGATAATATATTTAATATATAAGATATATTTAATTATATATGTACATATATATGTATATATATATATATATGCATTAACTGTAGGCGTTGTTTATTACCCTTAGAAATCATTTATTGATTAGTTGTATTATTGGAAATTTATATAGAAAAGTCACCACGAAGCCATCTCTTTGCGTCTTTAGTATCAGCACCGAATGTTTTACCGAACCTAAAAAACATATATATGTTTATATCCAAAAAAAATTATAGTCAAATAAGAAAGAGAGAGAGAAAGAGAGAGAGAGAGAGAGAGAGAGAGAGAGAGAGAGAGAGAGAGAGAGAGAGAGAGAGAGAGAGAGAGAGAGAAATAAGAATTAAAAATTACCTAAATATTTGTCCTGGAACGTGACCATAATAATTAGGTAATAAACCAACATGTTTATGATAAATTTCAGTCGATTGAATAAGAAGAGGCGGATCAGGTTTTGAAATTGTTACAGGTGCCCATTCGGTGCTTTGTCGATGTCGATAATTTGAAGTAAAATCACATAGTGCGCTATTAGTAGCGGGTACATTTGTAGCACCAAATTGTGCATATCCATATGGAATATGTCCAGCATATCCTTCATTGACGAAAAATTAATATCAATCGAGTTGTCATGAAAATGTAATTGCAATTATTTTCTACCCACGTCTTACGGCTTGTCTGATATAAGAATAGCGCGTTCGACTTTCACTATCCGTAAGAGTCATATTGCAATGTAAGTATACAAGTATAAATGATAATTATAAATTTGATTTTACGATGGAGTTGTCTAAATTAATTATTGTAAATAAATAGAAGCGATAAAAATCGAAGATCGAAATAGTCGAATTACGCCAATTCATTCAAATTGAAATTGGAAAAAAATTTCAATTTTTTTTCTTTTTTTTTCTTTCTTTCTTTCTTTTTTTTTTTTTTTTGGATATAACGCGATACTTGCCGCTGATAAAGTATTTCTTTGGATTCACATTATCCATAAAATAAGGGGAAGGAGCATGATCCCTTGGAACTTCGTATTGTTCATCGATTGGTAAATTTCTCATAACTCCAACGCAATCGGGACGAACGGTGATCATAGGCAATTTGAATTGACTTTCGATTAGCTAAATAATAAATTTTTCCAAATATAAAATTCCAAAGAAATTTACATTCGTTTAAATATCGAAAATACAATTGGATATAAAATGTCTACGATACCAAACGATCCTTCGTATTTCGCGGTTCACCTTGCCCACTTTGCAAAGAAATTATTGTTTCAAGTTTATTAAGGGCCTCTTTATTTTTTATCTGTTGTCTCTCAAATTCTGCTAAACCCTCGGTCGCAAGTACGGTGTATCTTTGTCCGCAATTTGCGTTTAAATTTGGTATGAAACCTATTATAATGATTTAAATAATTAATTGTTATTTTTCGATTATCGATATCCTTACGTACCTTCGTAGCCTGGAATAGTTGGATGGGTATAAATAGGATCTACCCTTTTGTATCGTGCATTTACAATATCTATATCATTTTTGGGAGGTCTACTCACCTACGTTTATTCGATTTTTATATTAATAATATTACTATTATAATAATAAAATAATATATTAGGGGACCGGAAAGTAATGTCGTTTCTGCGCATGTCAATATTTGATTGCGATTAAAAATAAAAACTTGTTAAAAATTTATTCGTTTGAATTTAATTTAAGAAAGCGACGTTACTTTCCGGTTCACCTAATAATATTAATATAATATTATTTACTGCTAGTATTAAAAATAATATTAATAAGTTCAAAAATTATATATTAATATTAATTAATTATAATATAATATAATATAATATAATATAATATAAATATAATATTATTATCATTACCATTGCTATTATTATTATTATTCTATTAATATATTATATAATATTATTATATTATAATAGTATTAGTATATAGATAATTTAAAATGAATCAGTAATAATAATAATGATAGTAATTCTAGGATATCAATGTAGACATTTGATAGAAATAGAAGATTACTTTTGATAGAAATACCAAAATAACATTACTTGATAATCGTCAGTAGCACGATTTGATAGGACAAGCGTTTCCGAATGATTCACATTAGGATCGAGAAGTAGTTTATGAGTAAGACTTCCATAAGTTTCTCCGCAACGATAACGATATTGAGGAGAAAAACCGGTGTATCTATGATAAATATTAATTAAGAATTTTTTTTTTTTTTTTTAATTTTATTTGTAAAAAATACAGGATGGGCCAATTGTTACCAAAACAATATTAAAAATCAATTCATTTTTCTCGAGACTTTTTAAGCCTTTTCTTATTTTTTTTTTCTTCTTTTTTTGAATGTATATATATATTTTTTTTTTAGGGTTAACAACTCACCCTGGTATTAAATGTGGTTCTGATGTATTAAACAATTCTACGCCGACGGTCATTTTTTCAATTAAATACTTTTAAATACGTCGATGATCAATTCAATTTTAATTTAATTTAACTGGAATTTGGATTTTTTTTTTCTTTTTTCTTTCTTTTTTATACGTTATCCGACATACATCGATACACTAACAATTTTGTAACTCTCGTCGTCTCAATTACATTATGTTATTACATTCAGATGTATAAAAATAACGTGTCAAATAACGTGTTTTTTCATTTGTTCGAGTTTATTCGCGCTTGAAAATTTGTTCGTACGAACAAGATTGATTCCTTGATAAACATTTATTGCGCTCACGTAATAGTATCTATGAACTTAATATTTGTTAGGATATATTGAGTTCTTAATATTTTATAATTAATTAATAATAACAATACTACTACTACTACTATTACTACTACTACTAATAATAATAATAATAATAATATATATATATATATATAAAGCAAAAAAGAATTATTTCAATCATTTTCATTGGCAGATAAAGATAAGTATTAACTCGAATCTGTAGAAAATTTTCGATGAATAACGAATTAGACAAATTACTGATCGATTATTTAGAGAGGGTGACTATGCAAAAAGAAAAGAATGAGTGAGAGAAAGAGAGAAAGAGAGAGAGAGAGAGAGAGAGAGAGAGAGAGAGAGAGAATGAGTGAGGAAGAAGTGAGAGAGAGCGAGAGGGTATACTCGTTGGCAGAGTAGGGAGGATACGTTGCGTGCACAAATGGGAGAAGTTGTGGGAGCAACGTTTCGCTTTCCAGTTTTCGTAGGACTACGGAGACGGAAAGAACTAACGAATAGTTATTTCCTCGGGATTTGTTCTATCTTTTGTAACAAAAATCATCGAATTCGTAAAAAAAAAGAAAAAGGACAGTTTGAAAACTTTCGATATACACACACGGTTTCTTTTACGAATGCGTTTAAAAAGAAAAAAAAAAGAAAAAATAAAGAAAAAAAAAAGAAAAAGAAGAAGAAAAAAAAAACAAAAATAAAAAGAAAAGAAAAAAGATCAAGTCACGAAGATCCAAAGTTTGATATTATTTCTTATTACGATCGATGAAAATTAAAACGATTAATCCTAGATCTATATCGATCTTATCTAATATCGTTACAGAACAATCGTTTTCATATCAAATTTTTTTTCATGATATAATAAATCTTCTCATTGAATTTTGATCGAAATCATTGTTCGCCATTTCAAACAAGCCTTCGATCAATACTGTGAACAATAAATAAAAAATGATGTGTTTACAAGATAGACAATGATTCGCAAGTTTAGTGATGCAACACGAACGATGGGAATAATTTCATATGGGAGACATGTGGCTTCGTCGGGAAACAAATTCCATCTTCTACGTGGATTCAGATTACGAATCCATTGGTTTAACCAATTCCAAGGTACATTAATTGTTATTACGCGTATTTAATAATAGTAATAATAATAATAATAATAATAATAATAATAATAATAATAATAATAATAATAATAATAATAATAATAATAATAATGATAATGATAATAATATTGAAGAAATAATAATATGCAATTATCTATGGTATATCTCTCTTTTATATATATATATATATATATACATAATTGTTGAACATTTTGTACATCATTTCATATATATAGAATGTAACGCGTTCGATTTATCATTTTACACGTCACTTATACTTTATTTATTTTCCTTATACTTATTTTCCTTATCGATATTTTTCTTATCTATTATAATCGTTTCTATTAACGATGATAACGAATACACAAAAATGTAATAATTTAATAACAATCTTCTAATGTTAAGATAAAGAGACAACGAATTGATTATAATCTTTTTGTCGTGAGACATCTATAATGAGGACTACTACATTTGTTGAAATGAAATTATGTGAAACTACACATTGTATCGCTTTCCACACATTGTGAAAGGTAAAGGAAAAAAAAAAAAAAAAGAAAAAAAAAAAAAAGAGAAAAAAAAAGATATTACCTCAAGCTTTTCTCTTCGTAATAAACGAAGAGAACTAACGAAAGAATTAGAATGGAAATAGAATGATAATCATTCGATAGAGAGGGAAAGTGAAACTTTTCGAAATAACATATATATTTATGCATCTACGTAACGGTTCGTCGAATTTCTGAACACCGTGTATATATTTATATATAAACTTCTTCATTTTTTTTTTTTTTTTTTTTTTTTTTTTTCTTATAATCATAATTTCGATTCTTATTACATTGCACATTTAATCCCTAAAACAAAATTAATTATTTGACCTTATTATTTGTGCAATATCATAATTCAAATAATTTTTTTTCCTTAAAATCATAATATCGAAAGATCAAAAATCCCGTCAGTTAATTACATCGTTTCATTTCATTCTGAGAAAGCGAAATAAATTGTTTAACATTACGTACATCGTTAACTAGATGTTCTAACTCGTTAACACAAGTATAGATAAGAAAATTAGATCTTTATCTCAATCTCGTAAGAAGATTATTTCAAACGACTATCGAGATAACGATCCTCAGACTCGGCGGGTGAATCGCAACCCAGGTGCGTAGAATCGAGCAAAATTAAACATAGCCAATTGTCTACATTTGTTCTCTCGCACAATCACTTTTCGCTCTCTCTCTCTCTCTCTCTCTTTTTTTCTCTTCTTTTTTTTTTTTATTTCTTTCTTTTTTGTACTCTTAGCGGGTGTCAGAGGAATAATAAAATGTCTCTCGTCGTCTCTCTCTCTCTCTCTCTTTTCTTTTTTCCTTTTTATTTCTTTTTTTCCCTCTTCTTTACTCTCTTTGTTTAGCGAGAACCCTAAGCTCTTACAACTACAACGACCGGAAATGTTATTATCGCGCATAGTGCGTTACCAACCGTGGGTGTACAGCGCGTATTTATTTCTACGGGGTGGGGGACGAGAATGATCGCGCGTAAGCGCAATTTAACCTCTTGCATTCTCTGGATCCCTTCGTGATAAATCGTAGCTCCGTAAGTTTTAGCTAACAGAACTAAGTTTTAACTTAGCTAACTACGGCCGTGTATATCCGTCGCGTGCGATTTTTTATTTTACTCGCTCCCCCCCTCTCTCTCTCTCTCTTTCTTCAACTCTACGTATTCTCTTATTCTCTATATTTTATCGACTGCATTCCAAGCACCCGCACTTCTTCAATATACACATTTCATTCTGTCATTATTGTCACATTTTCGTAATAGTTATCCTTGGATAAGTAGATATACTCTATATACATATACTTAAATTATACAATAAGGGATGATAATGGTTATACTTTTGCCATTGTTTTGATTAACATTAAAAACATATTTTTTATATATGACATATTGCATCTAACGTTCATTATATACAACATTAAAAAATACATCGTTTATTATACACATGTATATATATATATATATACACGTCATAAATGCATATAACTAATATTTAACGAATTAAAAAAAAAATATATATATATATATATAAGAAACCTAGATTGTCCATAATAAATGATCTCCGATAATGAACTCACTTAATGGGCATACAAAATCACGTACAAGCATAAAGTCTTTAGTAAATAAAGTACTTAGCTTTTCTTTTTGCGAGCCCTTTGTAAAGAGGCACGCGTGAGCACGTGCTCTCGTCGTCACCTAACGCCGTGCTCATACACGATAAACGTGACTTTCATTGTATTATTCACCATAAAACTCACACATAAAACCGATCCAGCTGCGTAACTAAAAAGAGAATAGTCGAGAGCGGTTTATCGTTGTCGATTCCACGAGCTTATTCCTTCGATGTATTTCTTTTTTTTCTTTTTCTTCCTCGTCCTCCTCCTCCTCCTCCTTCTCCTTCTTCTTCTCCTTCGAGACTAATGTCACGACATTATGATTGTGTTTTGTATTTATGTTTGAGTTTGTATTGGTATATTTCTCTTGACGTGGCACATTATACGGGCGCTTTTACGCCATAGGGGAACAAAAGGAGGAAGCCGTTTACGTATATCTACGCGAAGTCGTTACACACGAGATACTAACAGCTTATCTTTCTCTTTCCTTTTTATTATTTCTTTCTTTCTTTCTTTCTTTCTTTCTCTGACTCATCATGCGTACCTGGCGCACGTGCTTGATAGATCTTTTACAAGTCTCTTTTTCTTTCTCTCTTTCCCTCTCTCTCTCTCTCTCTCTCTCTCTCTTTATCCTTTTCTCTTTTTTTCTCACGTTTGCATTGAAGCCCATTTAGATTTAATTTCAACATTACCTCTCCCACCTTTCTTCATCTACTTCTTTTTTTCGTAAATCTTTTAAATGTCTTCTTTCTTTTCATCGAACGATGATCATTAAACCCCTCCCTACTTCCAGTCTCCCCTTATACCTTTTTTCTTTTTTTCGTGAATTTTTTAAATGTCGTCTTTCTCTTTATCGTACGATGGTCATTAAACCCATTGAGGTTTTTCATATCAAGTCCGACAAAACGGTCATATTATTATTTACCGTATTCAATTTAAAAAGCCAACGATAAACGATTAGTTTTTAATTATTGAACGTTATTTCATAAAAAAAAAAAGAAAAAAAAATCTTATTCTCCTTCACGTTTTAGAGTAATAAATAATGATCTACGGTGATTCGTTCGTTCTAGGAAAGCTTAATATAATTGATTATATTACGATTATATAAGAGAATCGATTAATTTTTCACGTTTAGTTTTGCGTTGTTTGAATTTACGTTACAATTCTTCGAAAATGGTGGCGAATCGTAATTTTCCCGCGTTTAATCTACCATAGGAACCAATCGGAACGATTTTAGAGTGTGTTTGTATCAGGGCGAAGAGTAAAGGGTTGGAGTATGAAGGAAAAGAAGAAGGGGTAGTGTAAGAGGGAAGAACTAGAAGGATTGCTGTAGGAAAGAGGAGGGAGATCGTTGTGAGAGAGAGAGAGAGAGAGAGAAACAGAGAGAGAGAGAGAGAGAGAGAGAGAGAGAAGGCCAGAGAGCTTTCACGACAGGCACAAGAGCCTATCGTATCAGTGTCGTTCGACGTTTTGCCAGATGCGTTTCGCTACTCTCGTTTGAGTTCATCTATAAAACTTTGATCTCTTTTTTTTTCTTTTCCTCGAAATATTTTTTTTTTGTTATATTATTCTTCAAAAGAATTATAAAAAAGAGGACAAAAAAAAGAAAGAGAATCACAGTGATATATTTATAGTTCCTTTTTTTTTCTTTGGTAATCGTTGTATTCGATAAAAAAGAAACAGAAGAAGAAGAAGAAGAAAAAGAAGAAGAAGAATATCTTGCGTATCATTCGAAAATGTATTACTGTGATTTGTGTTAATCAGTGTGATCAATAATATCAATTTTAATTCGTTCGTCACAATTTTCTCGCTCATAGATCTCGATCGTTGATTTAACGATAAATTAATTAAAATTCAAAATTAACGCGCATAACGCGTGTTCTACGTGCTATTAATAATAATTTTTTTTTCTCTCTTTACGTTTATGCGCATAAAAAGCGTTTCAAGATGTCCCGATTCATTGAGATTCACGATTATTAAAAGGGGCTGAAAGGTTTGACGGGGGAAAAGAAAGAAAGAAAAGAAAAAAAAAAAACAAAACAAAAAGAAAAAAAGAAAAACAATATTATACGTATTATCCTCCGTATGATCGTCTCGACGATACTTTCGAGCGTGACGGCTTTCCATCGTCGACACTCGCACGATGCTGGACGAAATGCCGAGCTGAAGGTGAGTTAGAAAAGATATTTATTGATATTGAACATATATTTACAAAATCATGATCTAAAAAGGAATAGTTCGATCCTGAATCGTATTTATTCAATTCCGACACTTTATTATAATTCAAAGGGATCGTTACGTTGAAACCAACGAAATTTATTTTATTCGATATCTTCGAAGTCACAGGGAGGACTGTTCGACTAAGAGGACCGGTTTTTTTCATGAGATTAAATTACTCGATTGATTATGACAAAAAGAAAAGAGGGGAACAAAACCGAAAGGAAGGAAAAAAAAAGATAAAGAGAAAAAAAAAAGGAAAAAGAAAAAAGAGAAAAAGAAAAAGTAACAATAAAATAAAGTACAAAAGTATAAAAATAAATTTTAAAAAATATAGATTATCGCGATTAAATCATTATCTCGGATCTTTCCTCGTCGATCATTTTTTTCTTTCTCTCACTCTTTTTTTCTAATTTTTTTTTTTTTTTTTTTTTTTTTTTTTTTTTTTATAATTATTTTTCTAACGTAAGAAAAACCTTTTTTATTTATTGGTTTCCCCATCTTCCCGCTCCTCCTCTTCACCCCTCTCCCCCCGTCCACCTCGTAAAATAAGAGACACCATATACTTAACTTATTCACGATTTTATCTAATGAATGATGAATGCATTTAACTCATTGAAAAAAATATTCGACCGGAGGAGTTTCCATGATTTGACGAACGAACGAGCGAGTCCTTCGTAAGTTCAAGGAGTCAATGGAACGCAAATGGAAACCGGTCGACGGGTGGTCGAGAGAAGAGCCGCTCCGGATCTGCTCTTTGATCCATCTTCCTGCTTCTTCCCTTCTTACAAGAGAGACAAAGATAGAGACAGACAGAGAATGATAGAGAGCGAGAAAGAGAAAGAAAGAGAGAGAAAGAGAGAGGGAGAGAGAGGGAGAGGGAGAAAATGCCGGGGGAGATTTCGGATCACTAATTGAGATCGTGCAACTCGTTGTAGATAACTATTACCGTTAGTATCGACTTGTCCTTATTTTTCTTTACTCTACAATATATTATATTATTATTATTATTATTATTATTATTATTATTATTATTATTATTATTATTATTATTGTTATTGTTACTATTATTATATCACTATTATCATACAATAAAAATCACAATGTTACCACATCGATGACCGGTCACGATTATACTTGTCTGTTGCATATGCGCTTCACTTATGTAATTCACATTCGACTTATGTAATTCATTAAAATATACAATCGTGTAACTCTTCATTCCGTTTAATAATATTTGTTTAATATTTAATATTAACAATTTATGAATCTTATATGAATAATATTGATATGATATAATATAATAAAACGTTTTACTATTTAATTATCAATCTAGACGAAATGTAACTCATTTAAATTTTACATATAAATCTATACGAATGTATCTTATAATTATGTATGCATATTATAATCGTAATAGGAATAATGTGTTTTACTATTACGTATTATTCTACAATAAATTTTATAGGAGGGTCCTTCCTATTCATTTAACAAAGTCCCGTTATACATTATTATACGACATGACGTGGACCATGTACCATGTTTAGCTTCGTTAAGAACAATTAAAAGTAAACGGCGAACTGAGTATTCTTTTAATTGGTACGCACGCACACGCATTCAACCATACATTTATGCATTCGTTCGCCATATTGAAAGGAAGATTCACCAATGAATCTGTTATATATGAATATATTTCTACGTTATATTCACAAAGACATCTTTTCCTAATTAATAATAATTATATAATATTGTAATTTCCTTTTTGTTTTTTTTTTTCTTTTTTTTTTTAATACATACCTATCTCTCAATCAAGACACAAAATACGATAAAATTGGATACAGTTTGTTGAAAAAACACAAAAAGAAAAAAATTGTTCGATTACCATATCCTTTCGAGAGTATAGGTATTAGATGCGATATCTAAGTTGAATTAGTCGCGTTTGTAGATGTGATTCAACGAAAAAAAAAGAAAAACGAAAAAAAAGCAAAAAAAAAAAAAAAGAAAAAAAGGAGAAAGAAAAAGAAACAAATAATTTTCATTTCGGTACTTTTTCGAGGGAGTAGAAATTAGTACGCATGGCACGGTCACCTGTACGCCTTTTGAATCGCTCTCGTAAAACAGGTTTATCGCATAAACGGGGACGGATAATAGCGTGCGAAGCGACCGTTACGCGTTTACCCAGGTTTTTCGCAAAATTTGTCGTGTTCTCACGGGCCTTCCGGACATGCGGATTTACTGTTTCCTTCTTAAAAAGCTATTCGATCTATTCATTTCTCGTTGAGCTTAAACGAATGACCAGGGCGGATTATGCAGATCATAGAGACAATGTCATTTGGGAGAGGAAAAAGAAATTACAAAAAAAGAAAAAAGGAAAAGAAAATAAAATTAAAAAAAAAAAAAAAAAAAAAAAAAGAAAAAAAAATTCAAGAAATACGCTCAGTAAAATATCTTGCAGCAGATCTTTGAGAAAAGTATGAATGAATATGTGATGTCATTGAAGATGAGGGACGTATCGTCTGTATTCTACGTGATACTAAATAAATTCACTATAAGTATGTATATATATATATATATATATATATATATATAGCCATTAAGACATACGATGAGTAGGGAGAGGGTTTCTTTGGTCTCATCAAATACAGCCTTTGTCCAATTATAAAATTTCCCTTATATAGTATAAATAAAGTATCTATACATACATACGTACATATATATATATATATATATATATATATATATATATATATAAATAAGAAACTTTGAGTAAATTAATGAATCGTAAAAAAGATACTATATAAAAAGACTTCTATTAAAAGGAAATTCTATGAAAAGAAAAACAACTAAATTATTTTATAAACTTTAATAGATTAAATAAATGTTTTTAATTAAAAAATCATTTGCCTTAAATGAAATTTTCTACATATAGGCCTTTCCTTTGAGAATAATAACTTTTTTATATTATATTTTCTGATCATTAAAATGGGCTGGAGACTGATACCGGAGGGGTGAGAGAGAGAGAGAGAGAGAGAGAGAGAGAGAGAGAGAGAGAGAGAGAGAGAAATAGAAAGAATTCAATTTACTTAAAAATATAACGAACATACTGTTAGAAATATATAAATTATATAAAATTGATGGACCACGAAATGTGTCAAGAAATTGAACAAAGCTAAAAATCCTTAGTGTGAAAAATAATTTATCTATGCTAAAATAAAATAGAAAAGACAGAAAAAAAAATAAATAAAATAAAAAGTAAAAAAAAAACTATAATTCAAGACACGTTGGGATAAATAGCAACATAACAATAACAACAACAACAACA